ATATACTCCCTCTCTCCCCGCTTCCGAGGGCGACAGTTTTTCTCATTAAATCCCTCAAATGGCATTCCAACCCCTAGACTTTCTGAACAATGCCTAAGGAGTTTTTTTCATTGTCGGCCCTCCTTTGCCCAATTTCAATTACTGGCAACGCCACTTTTTTGAAATGTCCTGCTGAACCAATGCATTGCATAACTGTTCTGTACCAATAGGGAGTTCAAAGGTATTTACCTACATTTCCCTCAATAAAACTTGACCTGGACATTTAATTTAAAAACTGTCATGCTTCTGTTTTGGGGTCAAACATTCCTGTTTATATGTATGCACTTTAATGAACATCTTCTTTACTTTGTATTTAGAGATGCCCGAACCCACCGTCACATTCCTTATCGGGAAAACAAAGCCCTTACGGGCACGGCCCGTTACACTAGCATTAACGCCCATGCCGGCATTGAACAGTCCCGTCGTGACGATCTAGAATCGCTTGGCTACGTTTTGATGTATTTCCTCCGTGGGTCACTGCCATGGCAAGGATTAAGAGTGAGTATATAATGCGGTTAAATTGGCTTCGGTAGTACTTTCATGCTTATCAACGTTTCCAAATTATTCTCAAAAACGGGAATTCCAGGTTGCATTACCGAACAAATTTGGTGATACTTTTAACAATATTCAAACTGACAACGTTTATTGTTTTATGACTGAAGTTTTTTCCTATACAGCCTTACGGCGGTCTAAAAATCTGAATTGGGAACTTTATCGCTCTGCATTCCAGAAGCTCCTGTTCGACTTCGGTTTCATTAAAGAAGTACAGGTGTCTGTATATGCTATGCGCTTTGACTTACTGACATTTCAGCCTTTATCATTCTGTGGTACTGCGTTCTAAGTAGATAATACGCGAAATTCCAAATTTTCACGCCGGTTATAATCAAGCGTAATGGTATACCACAAATTAGGAGTTAATACCTCTGAAAGTCCTGTCAGCTGATGCGGGGCTTACTTTACAGTTTCGTAGTCTACTTTCTAATTGCTAGTTCATAGAATGCCATGAATTTCACAAGAAAATTTCTAACACATTTTATGTAATAAGTCTCCTGTGCAAAAAACGACCTGATTGTCTTGTTTTGCCTGTGAAGTTGCAGTTCTTGCTTCCTGTTCCTACTAATGTTCGTAGATAACATGGCCAGATGTTCCCCTTGAATGATCTCAATAGGCATATAATACAACTTTCGTCTGCCGCCCTGGTTATTCCTAGCTACTTTTATATCCTTTCGCTGCTTATTTCTCTATTCGTTCGTAGTCCGCTGCAGGTTGAAACTGTCTGGTATTCTTTATTGTAAGGCGTGACAGGAAAATGGCAGCATATTGTGGACGTTATGAGGGGTTTGGGCAGATATGAATAATTCAACAGACCCACGGATGCCGCTTAATTTTTCACAATTGGGTCAAATTAATTCAACTCTACCAAATCCCTCCTAGTGAATAAGTGTCCCCGGCAGTCCCCTGATTGATTCTAGACTAATTGCTTCAGAAATCCCGCTTGGGCAGGTAACTTTCTATATTATTATTGGTAGATTCCATACGTTGCATTAGGCTGGGTGGGTAAATCAACCCATGTGTGCCTAAATTCAAGGTTGCGGTGGGGCCCCGATAGCTCGGTTGGCTAGAGCGTTGTCCGTATGCAAGCGTTCCTAGGGTGGCGTGGTTTTGAATTCTACCGAGGCCGCCGAAATTTTACAATTGACGTAATCGAATATTGTAGATACCTTATATTTGTGTATCCTGTATTGTCCCAGCGATCGAGTCTTCTTCTCAATCCCCTACAATTATCGATTTGGAATAAGCTGCAGTCAAACTGGTAAATTATTGAGTTTTATGACATAAAACACCACAACTTTGCAAAACAGGATTTTCAAAATGAGAGCCGCCTTTTTTTCTCAAAAATAAGACGATTTCCTATGCGTGCCTTTTGCTCGACTATCACTTATTTTGATTTCCAGCCGACAAAAAATTAATTAATCTGTTTATTTTGAGACCTTAGTGTATTTCCTGGCTTCTAGATTGTAGTACACCGTTACAGATCTTTCATTTAAATGAATGGCGCGTTGTCTGCTCGTTTTGTAAAGAACGTGGCATTTGAGGATGAATCACATAGATGCATCTTGTCATGTGTTGTTTAATTTAGGCAGTCACTGTCAGTCACCCTAGATCTACTTCAAGAGTATTCGTTTATTGCGAGAATATACGGTTTTATCAGAACAACGAATTGTATGACTATTTTAGAGCAGTAAACTGCACATACTTGCTGGTCAGAATTTTTAACATCGAGAGCACTTGAACTTTCCTGAAGGCACCATTGTCGTCTTATCGGAATAACGATTATTAAGACCTAATTTATTATCCCTGCGATCGTTTTCGCTTACTGTTCTTACTTAGATTACGACTGTCTACCAAAGGACGACATTCGTTAACGTATGTAATCCCTGGAAGACTGTCGATTTGCACCCTACAAATTCGTTTTGATCACGATTTATTTCGCGTGATTCTCCGCGTAAGAGATGCTTCTTACGAAACCTACTAATCTAATAAATAAAATTTGAAAAGTCTGCATTTAGGTTGTGTTCTATCACACTTAACAACAGCCGGAAGTCAGAATCATTCGTAGTGTGTTACTAGAGTGATTCGCCAGGATCTGTCACGAATGCATCGTGTGGTTATCTGTGTTTACAATTAATCCGATCGTTTTTTTCTCATCTTACCACGCTATCAGCACATGTATTCACTTCATCATAAGCCGCCGCAAGCGCAGCCTTTTAGCTCTGCGCATAATTAACGATTGTTGTTAACTGTACCCCTGGTTGGTGGAAGTGCCCGTCTCAGGCAATATTTATACAGAAACTGTATGCGCAAACTTTCGAGGTCCAGATATAATACTGCTTTCATCCCCCCCCCGGAAGAGGAAGAAGATGGGGCAATTCTGAGACCAAGTTATATTTAGGCACAATTTTCTTCCATGTTGCCATTAACTCGCTGAGTTTTTATGATTAGAATTCTTCAGCCGAGGTAGTTCTTTGTGTTATTTGGTTAATTTGATACTCCGTCTGACGAAACTAAAACTTTTTCGTATCTGCCGTGCTAAGTGAAGCCAAGAACCATACATTCAAGCGGACATGACGTATTCTATTATTTGAGCCCTTGAATGAAGATTCTCACTGTTTCCAGTCCGCTTTAAACTCGTTTTTTGCACTCTGTTTTAATGGATTCTTAAACCTTGCATGA